TAATGGTAAATTTCATACTGGTTCAGTATTCATTTGTAAATTTTCCAAATTTTATCTACTTATAAAAGTAATCAGTATTTATTTTAGAAAGATTTAAAAATGCAGAAAATCACACACAAAATAAGAGAATAAATATCATCAATAATTCCAATCCCTGAAGATAAACATAATTAATATTTTAGTGTAATTATTTTTGGTCTTTTATTTCTGTGTTCTTGTGCTTGTGTATTTTTTTTAAGTCACATCCTGTGCATATCCCACTTTTTAAAAACCTAAAAAAAGGTGTTTTCCCAATAACCAAATATCCTTCTTTAGCAGTGATTTAGTGGCTACCCTATATGCTATAAGTGTCATTTAAGATTAGATTTGACTATAACAAAATAACAGTGGTTTAAGCACAAAGGTAGGCAGATCACGGATGGTATGTTGGTTCTAAGAAGTCAAGGCTGGCTACTTAATTGTGGGGCCCAGTGCGAAATGAGAATATGGGTCCTCTTGTTGAGAAAGTAGAAAGTTCTGAAATCATGTCCCACAGGGTTAACAGAAACTGGTGACTAACAGAAATTCTTGAGCTTGTCTTGCAGAACAGCAGGTAAGGGAACAGCTTGTTAAAAATCACTCTGCTTGTAACCTGCCTTCGCTGACCAAGCTGCGTTAATTATTTTTGACTCTTTAACCACCCCTATAGATAACATCTCTCTATTATAATGGGAGCTTACATTGTTTTTCCAGAACTTGAAGTCAGCTCTTGTCCAATTCGAGCCAGCTAAGATTGTTTGGAACCATCGACCCTAGAACTGGGCCTGTGCAGATAAATGACTCTTTGATGTCAGAGAGCCAAAAACTCCTCCCTCGAATTGTGCTAAATACCTCCATTCTTAAGCATGAATCATGTAAAAAAGCATGTAACTCAGATGTGGCTGCCCAGAACACTGATTACTTCATCTGTACCCTACCTCCAGTCACCTTTCCTCATGCCTAAGATCACCCTGCTTCTTTATCCCATAAATATTCCAAGCCCCTCATCTACAGGGAGGCAGATTTAAGATTCAGATTTGCCATTTGTTCTCTTGTCTCCTGGCTTGGCTGCCTTGTGAACAAACCCTTTCTCTGCTGCAAACCTCCGTGTCTATAAAGATTCTTTCCTTCTGTGATCTCTCTCTTGATTTGTCATGGTGTTTTTTAATTTTCTATTTAATGTCATTCTACATAACAAAAAGATAAAAATTTAAGTTCATCAGTATACATTTTACTCTTCATTTTATATTGAGCAATGCCAGTTTAGATGCAAATATAAGAACATTTAAATTGTATATGGAATCACTGAAATCACATAATTTGTATTTGTGCACGCATGTGCACCCTGTTACTGGAATATGTTGTGCAAAATGAAATCATCTGTTGTTATTTTATTTCTTGGTACATACACCTTCTACCAGCACTCTACCTTCATGTTACTGATGAGTAAGAAGGACCAAAACAGGAAGGAACTTTGACTTACCTTCCCTTTTCTTTCTACGTCATCATTTGTAGGGTAAGTTGTTGACTGTTACAGAGGAGTAAGGTAACATGAGTAAGAAATGGTGCAACAGGCTCCCTTGGCTGTCGTGTTTCTAGAAATGCCATTGCCTTCTTTCCAAGTAGCAAGTTCTGGTTCAGATGAAAAGTGTGACCTCTCAGAGATGTCAGGGCCCTGGCTTAATCAGTTGGAGATGGAAGGTGCCTTCCTTGGACTCACTTTGAGTCTTGCTGAACTCCGGCTCATTGTGGGACCACAGGAATTCTGAGCTCATGGGGCTCATGCCAGTGGGGCAACAAGGAACAGCATCCAAGCATGTTGCATGTACCCCTCTTACACACATGCTCCGTCATTCTGTCAGACCTCACTTACAAAACACAAGTTCAAAGGCAAAATTATTAAGACTTTTATAATGACAACAGAAACATAAATGAAGCCCAGGGCCCTTCTGAGTGGAGGTCCTTGTGTGACTGCACAGCTTTCATGCCCATGAAGTTGTCATGCTCCACCAAGTCCACAAAGACTTGGACTTTTTTTTCTCTTTTTGCTTCTTCATCCTCCACGTGGGGCTTCCATCCTCAAGGTCACTTCATGATCCAAGTTGGCTGCTGGAGTTTAGCATCAGCAGAGAGGAGAAAGGGAGAAGTGCAAAAGGACCAACTCTTCCAGGCTGAATCAGGGTTTTGAAAGAGCCTTTTCAGATGCCCAGCTCTGCTTCCATCGCACTAATCAGAACTTGGTCATGAGGCTGCATTTAACTCTCAGGTCGGCTGGAAATGTAGTCTTTTTGCTGGGTGCATTGCCGCCTTGAATATCCAGAATGCAATCAGGCTGTTACTAAGAAATGAAGGTTAATTGACATGGATGGGCAGTGGATTGTCTCTGCCACACCAACTTAAAGATTATTTAATCAAACCTTAATTTTTACTTATGAGGGTTGTTTGTGATTTTTTGCTATTATCAACAGCATTTAAAGCTTTAAAATTGTATCTTATTCTAATTTTTAAAAAGCATATCCCCAAACAATTAGCACATTTCTTTGGAAGAATTTTTCCATTTATTAAGTCAAACTAAACATTATGTAAATCATGTGACTTTTCTGATCCCCTGGTCCTGCCCAGTATTGCTAATTTATGTGTGACTAGATGACAAAAAGAAAAAATGATGTGAGCAGCTTCTGAGGGTTGCAGGCTTTGTGACAGTCACTCACTTCTACCTGAATCAATCTACTGCCAATATCTGGATACATTGTATCATCTTGTATCAATTTTATCTGTTTCTAATATTGAATCTCAGGATGCCCTCTATAATCTTGTTTTAATGTTATTTCTGATATTGAGTATCTGAATGCATTGTGTCACCTTGAATTAATATCCTCTACTTGAAGCTTGCCAGAATACAAAACCTAAGTGAGAACTAGCCATTGCTCATTTTCCCATTAGTATTTGCATACCATATAATCAAGTTGTTCTTTAGTTGGGGGAAGCTAGTTCTCTGTTCAGCGCAAGTAACTCAAGACTAAAAGAACTTGAATGTTCTTAGCTCATTTTGTTTGCCACATCGTTGCCAAGCTTATCAAATTATTTCCATATGAAATGAAAAAAAGGCTTTACTGGCCTCCAAAACACTTTTATTTGAAGTAAATAACTGTGAAAGAATTTACTTATTCTATTTTTTTAACCAACTCTTAAATGACACAAGAACTTGTAATTTATTAAACAGAACAATAGCTGCACATTCTGATTCTAATGTGAAGTTTTTCTGAATGAATTTGGGTACAGTTAGATTTCAGAAATGGAACGATTAAAATCTGAGTATTATGAGCAAACCATTATTTATAGAGTATAGTTCTACACACTCCAGCATTTTGTCCTTCACATATAAATATCTGGATACATGCACCATCTGAGTGTATAAAATTAAACTACCTGAACACCTTTAAAAAATTAGAGTAAAATGTAAAAATGTCTATAAAAAGAAATTCATTAGAGATTTCAAAATATCCGTAAGTGCTAAATAAGGTTTCCAGAAATCAGTGATTATGCTGAAACGTGTCACAAGGGGAACTGTTAACAAGTGTTACTTTGCCAATGGTAGGAAGATTGCCAACCTTTAATTGGCTTTAAAGTTGGTGTTCTATCAATGGTGTATTGTAAAAAGCAATAATGCCCACATTTATGATTTAAGCCTGAAATAGGGACTCTAGAGTTGACTAAATGTGGCACTATGCACTAGTCCTTCTAATTAAAAGTATTCAAATGCTGGCCTTTTAAATTTGATTAGGATGTTTAATATCATGTTTTTATTAACAGCCACAACAAAACAAAAGGTGTTTGTCTACAATGTACAATGTACAGTGACCAGTCAATCTCCCTCTTGCTTTGCTCTGCATTAACTGCTTTGTTTAAATGGAAATACTGAGAATTGCTCTTTTGAGGGTGCTGGGAAGATGAAATTCTACTGAATGAAACAAAAATCTGGCATGGCATCATTCTTTGGATTCCGTAAGGGAAGGTGTCCTCATT